TGCTTTTCCCCCCAAAAAAAGGTCAGCCTAAAAGCCATAATAACCCTACATTTCGATACTGTCAACTCGGTTCGGGAAGTAGAGCATTTTAGAAACTGCAAGATGTAAAATCCTTAATGTTAAACCATAGGATACTGTGGATGTAGCTAACACCCCCCCCTATTGCACAATGATGTACCTGTTTGGAAGTAGGACTGCGGCCCCATGAAAGCCTAACACTTTGTCCACCCAATTGGAGTCCATTAAGCATTCTCAATGCTTCCTCTGCACAGCTTCTGTGGAATGGAATCACACACACAAAATATCTTAGATGATCCCCATACCTATATATGCATAGTATGGCATAATTAGCAGCAGACTTACTTCTCAGAAAATTGAACGAACCCACAGCGCTTCCCAGCTGGTATCTTCACATGCACTATCTCGCCATATTGACCAAAAACCTTCCTCAGATGATCATCAGTTACACTAGGATCTAACCCACCCACAAAAACCTGCACAAAAACTTTTAACGAGTCAGGTAACGTCCATTAAAAAGTAAGACTGGGGCACACAATAAATAGAAGCACCCACAGTTGTATTAGTTGGATCGTTATCAGTTGGAATCCCTTGGCCACTCTGGTAGGAATCTGCATTTAACATCAGAAGCTCTCATGTCAAGTGAAAGAACTGATCAAGGAGCGGGGCAAGTATATACACGCAACACCATAATTGACAATTTCAAAGAGACCTTTTTGGAACCTCATTAATAAAAGAATTACCTGAAAAATGTCAAACAAATGCAAATAATGCATGTACTAGTATGATGTGCCTTTCCATAACAAGTCCATGATCGTTGAACTTTTTACCTTTAAGATCTTCAATAAAGTATAAAAAGCACGACCTAGACTAGAAAATATGAAACAAATTTACAACAATGCCTATACGGACGAGGAATACTAATCTAAGACCCATATGGGAAAAAGAAGCTGTTTCTTTGACCACTCGAAGAAGGCCGCTACATCTAACCAGGCTGTCTATTGTGAGGGTCACGTACAATCAATGAACAAAAACCCAGGAAAACTTCTAGGATCTCGAACTGAACCAGTAGTAGGGAGGAAATTGATGTACCAATGTAACCAAATAAAATAAGATATAAAAGATAGGACAAAGTGAATACAAAAGAAGTAATTAAATAACTGTCCATGAAAGTAAAGATGTAAGATTTAAATATATAACTGGCTGAGAACTTGAAGGAAAGCTGAAGTGAAAGATAATGGGGAATGATAGCAGGACCAAAGCCACAGAAGGACTGATAAAGGACAACACGTGAACTTTAAAACTGACCTAAGGATGGGCATTCATTAAGGGGGTAACCATTTCAGCTGAAATCAGTTCCAGGCCCCAAGATGATATAGAGCCTCTTGACTCCCTGCTTTAAAACAAACAGGATACAACAAGGACGCTATAAGATTTTTACGTATTTCAACAGAATTTACTGCGCCCAAATGTTAAAATACACGATCTGGCTTCGGAAACTTCTGCTAATTGCTAAACCCTGAAGACCTTGACTAATGGAAGAAACTAAGAGAAATGAACTCGACCATACCGCCCATAATGCAGTATAACTCATACTAACTGCAGACAAACTAAGCCACAGAGAGAAAATGTATGATTCTCTAAAATACAGCAAACACAAAATATGAACAAAGAATGGGAACACAAGATTTCAGCAGCAGGTACAATGTATCACATCTTCAAGGCAATACATACCTTTTTGACCAGACACACCTTTTTTGCTGGCTGCTGGTCCAATCCTCATAGGCCTAGTCGAACACAGAACACCGTTCATTTCGGTCATAGCACGTAACTGTTCACTTTCATCTCCAAACCTAACAAAACCATATCCCTTTGTCCGTCCAGTAACTCTGTCGATGACAACCTTACCACCCTTAACTGAAGGATAACGGGCTCTGAATGTCTCTAGTAGAATATAATCGGTGACATCGGCAGCCAAATCACCCACAAAAATTGTGAAATCAGGCGAATCATCCCGTTTCTCTCCCGAGCTGGCCCAATTCAATCTAAAGAGCTGGTCGGGAAAGCTTGGGATAGGGGTACCGTTGTATGTCTGTAGAACCCGTTCAGCAGCAGCACGCGAAACAAACTCAAGGAATCCATACCCTTCAATCTGCTGAGTTTGCTTGTTACGGATGACTTTTACAGAAGACACCTGCAATGCTAAACAACATTAACTTACATTCCAACAACAAGACAAGAGGATCACTAACACATTGTTACCAGCCACAAAAGATTCTCAAGCATAAGAGATTAATGTCTCATACTTAAAAATCCTATCTTTCCAACACATCAAATCAGCCCAAATCTCCTTCAATTGAAAGAAGTATTAAGAAGTATTTCATCATCAGACGCAACATAAATCACGCTATTTACCTCTCCAGTATGAGCGAAGCAGTTAAAGAGAAAGTTCTCGTCCATCCAGTACTGCAAATCCCCGATCCAGAGAGTCCGGATCTCGTCGGCGCTTGCGGGTTCAACCGCTTGCCCAGGAACCCCGGCGATCGGGATCTGCTGGCTCCACATCTGAGTCGGAGCAGCCCCCGCCGATTGGCTGTACGGCGGCGGAGTCATCCCGTAAGGAGAAGGCTGCTGGTAACCGTACTGTGGCTGCGCTGGCGGTAGCGAACCGACCGTCGATGGTGGCGGAACCATGCCTCCAGGTGGTGGCTGCTGCATCATAATCGGAGAAGGAGATAGGAGAGAACTCTGAAAACCCTAGAAATGCCGAACGGAAGGACAAAAACAGGCCACAATGCAAGGATAATAGCGAGAGGCGTCATAAATAGACATTTGTAAAGTTTTAAGTCATATTGTTTTTATTTCTGTAAATTTTTCAAAGGATCCGTGGCGCAATGGTAGCGCGTCTGACTCCAGATCAGAAGGTTGCGTGTTCGATTCACGTCGGGTTCAAAATCCCGATCCTTACGGTTCTTACTTTTTTTTGAGAAAAATTATTTCCACGTGGATAAATCTAAGCCGTCCAATTCAACGACTATCGATAAACCATCGACGGCTCATAACTAACGACTTTGCATTAGTGAAAAAAAAAAGGTTTACCCAACAAAACAAAATATGCATATACAAAAAAATGTACAAAATATGATAATTATTGCTGAATTTGAAAATTTACAAAATACACATTTGAAAAAAAAAAAAAAAAACAGCGTCTGGAATGAACACCATGCAAAGCAGATCCCATTACGTTTTTTTTGTGCACCACATTCATAACATTAAATTCTTTTTTTTTTTTCCTTTCTATCCCATAGATATCGATTCCTAACCCTAAAATGTTTTCTCAGGCTTCAGATACTGTCTTGGTAGTAGTAGTAGCAGCAGCAGCAGCGATGTTATCTCTTTCTTTAGGTTTTGTTGCGAGGAACTCAAGAGCTGTGACAACATCCGCCATTAGAGGCCGAGTGTCAGCTTCTTCCTGCAGACACATGACTGCAATGGCGAGAGCTTGGTACAGTCCCTTTCTCGGATAATTCCCTCCAAGCAACGGATCCGCGATCAACGTAAACATCCTCCTGTCTTTCAGCAATGGCTCCGCCTGCAAAAACCCATCCCTTAAATCTCTGTTTCTTCCTCTCAAGAACACGAAAAGACACGAGATTGTTTACTGTTTTTTACCCATGAGATCAAGTTCTGCTCTTCGGTCGGCCTCTCTGTGTCTATCGCCCTTTTCCCGGAGATGACCTCGAGAAGCACGACTCCGAAGCTGTAGACGTCGGATTTTGTCGTGAGCTGACCGGTCATTGCGTACTCAGGAGCACAGTATCCATATGTCCCCATGACTCTGGTCGAGACGTGATCTTTATCTCCCGTCGGTCCTAACCTTGCAAGCCCGAAATCCGACAGCTTCGGGTTGAAATCCTTGTCTAACAGTATGTTCCCGGCTTTGAAGTCACGGTATATCACGGGAGGATCCACACGGTTGTGCAAATACTCGAGCCCTTTCGCCGCCCCGTGAACTATTCTCATCCTTGTGAACCAATCTAGACATGGCTTGCCTTCAGGCAACTCTAAGAAACATCCCGAAAATAGAGTGAGGATTCGACTCAGAACACGTAGTTTCGATTCATGATTTCGGGTTATGTTACATTACGATTACATACCGAAGAGATGGTCTTCCAAAGATCCATTAGGCATGAACTCGTAGACAAGGACCCTCTGGTCATCTTCTATGCAGTATCCGATGAGCTTGACAAGGTTTCCATGCTGAGCCAAGCTTAGAACCATCACTTCTGCAAAGAATTCTCTCGTTCCTTGAAGCCCGTTTCGATCGAGCCTCTTCACAGCAACCATCTACTTTCACATGAAAATGAGCATGGAACCAAACTTAAAATCTTCCATCATACGAACTTATATACACACACATATACCAATATATCCATATGGGTGTATGGATATGGTGGGGATCGAGGGAGAAGAGGAGACCTGATCAACGCTGTTGAGGAATCCTCTATAGACTCTCCCGAAGCCGCCTTCTCCGACCATACAATCCGTGCTGAAGTTGTCAGTGATGGCAATCAGTTCCTTGAATTTGAAGAGGCGACCGCCGTTCTTCGGGTTCCCAAACTTCTTTATTTCCTCTGTTATATACTTCTCTCTGACGCTTCCTGATTTTTGCAGAACTAAACCAGTGAAAAGACCTCAACTTTGAGACGAAACCTAAAGAGTTGATGTGTTTGATGCAAAGCAAAATCCTTTGAAACAGTTATCAGATTCCGATCAAAAGAAACTGAAAAAGAAATAGCAGAAGATAAATACAGGAAACAGAGTTGCAGAGTGGGGAAGAATTCAGACAAGAAGATACATAGTGTGTGTTCAGACAAGATGCGTCATCATCATCAGTTCGAGGGTTCTTCAAATAACAAAAGGAAAAACAGAGAGAACATCAAGGAAACGATTATGAAACCAGAGAGCTGAATAGAATGCAGAGAATATGCACAGTAAGGACATTGATATCCAAACAGAAACAGACTTAAAGGTCCAACATTCAAAGACAGAAGATGTGTAACAATGGTGTATATGCACCTTTTCTACAGGAGAGAGCCGCAAAGAGAGAGGCAAGTCTATGCCTTTTGCCTGAATTCGCCTTCAGGCATTGATCAAACGAATCTCTGCGTGAGCTAGAGCCTAGTTGTGGATTGAAACAAGGGCAAAGCTTCATTTTCGGACAGAACCCTTCGATCCGAAATCTCCAGGGAAGAATGCGATCCAGAGGAAAGACCGAATCTTTTCCGTACCCTTCTGATCCAAATCCTATGGGCAAATGAAATCCGAAAGAAAGATGCAAACTTTCTGGGAAATCTGGCAATGACAGAAGAATTTAGGGGAGGAGCAGAGTCCTTATCTCAACTTCTTTTTGCCCATGTTAGGGTTTCTGATCTTCGTTGCTTTATTTGGAACAAACCGACGCGCTCTCTTGCAACCATCTTCTTCGCATCATGTAATCAATTCATTTTTTTTTTTTACATCTCCTCCCGTAGCACCTGGAAGCCAATGGCCCTCCCCAAATGACGACTCGAACCGGGTTGGAAATAATCAATTCAAATTTGTCATATTATTATTGTTATGTAAAAAAACTAAAGTAATTTATTCTCAAAAAAAAAAAAACTAAAGTAATTTAGCTACAAAACCGTATATATACGAATTGGCATCATACCACAAACTCTTATTCGCTACGACCACCAAAACCAAACCTTAAAGGAAGGAAAAAAAGAGAGCATAGATAGCATTAACCTAAATTAGCAGTTCATGTGTTATATATATATATATAACTATGATATGTTAAGATCCATTCATCTTTTTGAGAGTCTCTCAAGCTCCAACTTTACAATAGATCATCTCACTGCTTCTCTTCTCCATTCTCCATTCTATTATGTTTTTTCATCTTCTTATTAGCATCAAAACCCGAAAATCTGCCTCACTGTTTCGCATGTTTAGACGTTGTTTCTATTAGTTGTAAACGATCAAAATGATGAAAAGTTTTAACTTTTCTTGAGATCATGAGCGAGAAAACGTTACTCAATAGTAGTTTTGCTACCAGTGAATAGAGGAAAGTTTCGAGAATTGCAATGGTGGCTCCAAGGGCGTTAACAGGTTAGCCCGGGGTGTAGAAGACATGGGCATAGAGGAAACGATAACCGAGATTCGCTTCATCGTGTTACCGATGCTAAACGTCAATGGCGAAATCTGGTCTAGGGACATGTAAGTAACTTGGTTGTATGTACAAGTGATAGAATACACTTTGAGCCATAACCCACGTGTAATCACATCACCAGAATTACACACAAAGGCACCACCTATAAATATAACATGTCAAGAATCTTGAAAGTGGATCGATTTGGGAGATTATATTTCGCCAGCCAGCAGCCCACGTTTGAGGACCTTCCACGGCAATGGCGAAAGGAGTGAGGATCAAAAGAGATAACGGTAGAAATTTGCGGAATGATCTGTTGTTTTATTAATAGTCAAAATAACATATAAATAGATAAGAGTTCAATATAAGTAAAATAAATATAATAATAAATATTTTTAAATATATATTTTCTAGATTTGATAAGATGATCTCCATTATACGATATATTTCGTAATATTCTTCAAGATCCGGTATATCTCAATATTCCTTTCAAGTTGGTCTGTGCAGATCACGAAACGCTAAAATTACAGAAAAAATGATCAAACACATGTCGCTTGAACCACATCACCTCGGAATTTATGTCAATAGAAGATATAACTGAAAAAAAATCAAATGAACACTACCTGCAAATTTGGCAACAAGTAAAAAGAATCCTTCAATGATAACAAAAAAAGACGACAACGCGGTGCGAAAAAGAAGTCTTGGGAATAACTCTAATTCATCCGAGATTAAAAAGCAACTACGCGAAAGCGTTTAGTGACAACAAATTTTTGCAAGAGTAAGATGATTTGCGGTTATAGAATAATCTTTTGAAACGTGTGGGATTATGAGAAAAAATGTAAAAAAATGACTCTTATTCTTAATAAAAAAAACTCGAAATGATATTATCACTAGATCGGTATATCATCATCTACATCTTCACTCCCATTATCAACCAGCATTTTTTATTTTTTATAAAAGGAACAATAAATTAGAAAAGAACTAAAAGAACTGATAGTCTGATACCGTGTAGAAATTTACGGAATGATCTCTTTTATTGATAATCAAAATAACTTATAAATAGATGAGAGTCTTACATTGAATAAATATTTCTAAATATATATTTTCCGGATTTGATAAGATCTCCATTATACGAAATATCTCGTAATATTCTTCAAAATCCAGTATACCTCAACAATAACATCGACAAGCAAGCATAGTAGTTCATCCCGCTAGCCGATTTCCTCTTCATTCCCTTCTTCGAGAAAATGTTCCTGAACATGAAGGCGATGCAAGGCAATTTGCATCATTGACGCTCCAACAAAATTCTAGTATTTTTCTTTATTTATGTTGATAGGGACTTTGCAAAGTCTGAATTTTTTTTTTAAAGTTCAAAGTAATCCACCCCCAATACATATTGCATTTATGTTTTCTTGCAGTGTCAAATTTTAACCGTTGAATTCAGGTTTGTTCACATCACATGTCACACACGCTTCATTGGATCTGAGATCGAAATTATTAACATATCCGTGTGGGTTGATACATGCAGATTGGTCAATAAAATTCATAAATTTGGACGGTTGGGATATAATTTATCATATAATATTATTTTTTGGCATAAATCACTTCAGCGTTGATTATTTTGATGACCACTGTCCCTTAACCAAAAAAAGGGCTGTAGAGAGGGCAAAAGCATTTGTATTACGATTTCGTACAACGGTCGAGGTCGAGTACATATAAATACTCCGTTTGAATAGAAACCCTCTGTTTCATCCACAGTTTTACAATATATAACTCTTGAGGACGTCACTTTTAAAGCCCCGCAACGAAAAAGGAATTTCAAATTGAGATATTAATAATTAATCTTTTCGCTCAGAGAGAAACCTAAGAGGGCAACGAAATGGCTCTTTCGAACATGGTGTCGAGATCTTTGTCGCCGCGACCGCTGCAATTCACGACCACTTTGGTCTTATGACGTAGCGTCGGACAAAGTTTGTCCAGAAACGCCAGCGCGTGGGATGCCTCCAGCGCCGGGATTATCCCCTCCAATCTCGATAATCTTATGCACGCTGCGAAAAACGTTTGAAATCATTTTATTTCACATTTTTATTTATTAAAATTTGCATTGCGAGCACATATATGAAACCCTAATTACATTTATGTGTGCGAGTGAATATATTTAATATCAGATGAAAATATAAGAGATTATGAATTTTTTTTTGGGTAGGGTTCTACATACGTACCTTCGATGGCTTCTTGGTCGGTGGCTGTGTAGAACTCGGCTCGTCCGGTGTCTTTCAGAAAGCTTATCTCTGGGCCGACTCCTGGATACTCTAACCTGAAATTAAATGTCAAATTTTTCTCTGATTTCAGGTGTTTGGACCTTAGTGGTATAATCGATAACCGGTTTACATAACCGCAATGACAATCGATTTCAGCCGTCCTTTTCGGTATTTTGAGTTTATGTTAAGATGAAGTTCTAGGCTTGTGAGTGTATAGACAATCTTGTTTTGGATAATAAGGGATTTTTGTTATTTTTCTTTTCCCCTAAACCGGTTTAGCTTGATTACTCTACTATTAGTTTGGTTTATAATATGTACCAAGGAAAAAATTAGATGAGCCAATTTAGATCTGAGGCCCAAACTCCAGCTTGGCCCAATCGAAAAATTAGCCAGCTATGGATCTAAGTTTTTCAATACAAAAAAATTGGACTTTTGGACCAGACTCAAATCGGATTTCATACCGATCGAAAGCCCGATATTTTTTTTTAAAATAACATTTATAAAGAAAATTATGCAGATTGATCCGGTCCGGCCCAATCCGATCCGAGTCAGGAATATATAGTGTATGGTTTTGGGTTAGTTATATAGGCCCGAAAAAAATTGGACAGACCTAAATCCGAACCCAAAACCTTCGAACCAAATGTGGACTCTAGTCGGATCGGCGTGATTAATACGCAAACGATACAAATAAAAAAAATAAACATAAAACTCATAATATGTGTTTTTTCCAGAAAAAAAATGATATAAAATATATAGATTTTTTTTGTTTTATTTAGATCTTGATGTAATTGATTGGGAATTATATGGTCCATAATTTCCAATTAATTACTCCTTGGGTTTAATTATATGGATCTAAAAATTCTGTGTATATGTTTTAATTATTTTTGCTATGGTGCATCCTTTTTTGTTCATATTTTATAAAATACCAAAAAAAAAAACTATGGACTAATTAGTCAATCGATTGATATCATTTTAAAGTATTTCGGTTCTTTTCTTTTAAAATATAATTTTCCTACACATAAAAAAAGAGGAACCCTAGCACTCACCCTACTCCGATTGAATGGGGCCTCAGTATCTGTCCTTCTCCATCTTGCAGCAAATAACTCATCGAACCATGATACACCCCAACATCTCCGGCGGCTAACGTCGCCGCATGTTTGCCGGAATCTAATCCGAGACCGGCGGCTTCAACTCCCACGAGCCTCACGTCGTTATCCCCGACGAACTCGTGGAACAAACCCAAAGCATTAGAGCCACTCCCGACACAAGCCACCAACACTTCAGGCTTACCTCCCCACCTTTCCTCCGCCTGTTTTCTCGTCTCTTTACCGATCACGGATTGGAATTCTCGAACCATTACCGGGCATGGGTGTGGACCCACGACCGTGCCCGGCAAGTAGTACGAGGTTTCTAGGTCTCCCATCCAACCTCGGATCGCCTCTGAGCTTGCCTCTTTGAAAGATCCTTCTACCGGTTCCACCTACATGTGTATCATTTGTGCCGAACATTGTGTTCTTATCAAGAAATATATGTATATGTTTTTATAATATAAATGATCCAACTAGTTATTTTAAAGTTTTTATAATATAAATATAATATATCATAATATATTTGGAAATACCTGAGCACCCAACAGATTCATGGAAACAACGTTAGACCGTTGTTTCACCATGTCGGTAGATCCCATGAAAACGGTACACTCCAGAGAGAGCTTGGCGCAGGCGGCCGCCGTGGAATATTATACAAATTTTCAGCAGATATCCAAATTTTACAACGGATGAACATGGAAAAAAGATGCATAAAATGATACAATGTCGCTATAACATGTGTTGATTTTATCTGTTATTGTTGGTGTACGTCTCCCGTGGCGACGCCGTGTTGTCCGGCGCCGGTGGCCGTGACCACTCGGCTGCGGCCAAGACGCCGTGCGAGCATGGCCTGAGCGATGGCGTTGTTGATCTTGTGGGCCCCGCAGTGGCTGAGATCCTCCCTCTTCAAGTAAATCTCCGGCCCTTCTCCGGTCACCGGATTCCGGTAGTGCTGGGACAAGCGTTCCGCGAAGTAAAGAGGCGTTTCTCTCCCTACGTAGTCCCTTAACGCTATCGAAAGCTCCTCCTAATTTTTAAAAAAATGTATTCAATTTGGTAAACACAAATACATTTTAGGCCTTCATCGTAAATTTCTCTTTGATTAAGAAATCACTTCTCTTGGTGGATCGACGTGTTTCAGATTTCACAAACCAATATAAACCAAATATTCTTATCCGCAACAATTATATTATGCTCCATAAAAATTGTCTTATATATTTTTCGTATCCGAATAATCAATTGGTGGTCTGACGTGCTACAACTGACGTCGTTACCGGTCATGTGTTTTTTTTTTATGAAGGATTGTGACCACAAAATAAAAAGAAGAAGAATAATCAAGGTTTGCGTTTAACAAAAAAAATATTATTTTGGATTTCCGAAAAATCCTAGAAATTAAAAATCACTTATCTGAATAATTTGAACACAAGTTTACCGTTATTTATTTATTTATTTTTTTTTTGTCAAATTATTTATTTATTTTTGCATGATTATAGTCTCTCATGATGTATTAAAATTAGAAAAAGAAACGAATGAAGTGCCAATATTTTTCTTAAATAAAGAAATAAAAAGAAGCCAACCTGAAATTCTTGATCATGCAAGACCAAATTGAATTCATCTTCAAGTTGGGTGAGACAAGGTATGAGTAACTCCCCGACAAATTTCCCACCGAAATTACCGAACTTGCCTTTTTCAAGAAACCGTAACTCGTCTACATCGGTTCTTGTCGGAGAACAAACCCACCCACCGATTTCACGGCGGCCGTTAACCGCTACACGGCAAGCCGGTGGATTTTCTCGGCGGGGGGCTGTGGCTGGTTTTGTTGGTATGTGAGCGTTGTTACACAACATCTTTGGAGATACACTTAATTCTATGGTTTTGATGATTTTTTTTTTTATTTTTTTTTATAAATTTGTAGAGAAGGTGAGTAGCGTTTATATAGTGGAAATGGTGCTTCTGCGTAGGACCACTTGTCCTATGATGATACATTTTTTTTTAAAAAAAAAAATTCTTAATATAAGTTCATTTTTTCATGCCCAATGGGAATGCGCGGTCTTGTTTTTTCTGTCTCCGATATTACTTTATCATATAACTAAAATATCTATAAAAATATGATCGAATAGTATATAGAATCATACACTTTAATGACCCTACAAATTTGAAAATGGATTTAATTTTGAGACGAATGCAAATAATAAAACGGTAGATGAATGGAATGAAAATAAATTATAAAGTACAAACATTTCGTGATAAATTTATTAAGGGTGAAAATAAATTACATAAGGATGTTTTGGCAGCGGCTGGTTCCTGAATCTTTGCTTCCACCACAGATTCACAACACACAAACATAAATAAATCTTATCAAAGCTTTTCTCGTTTAGGCCTATTCAAATGGCGAGTTTTTTTTTTTTTTGGGATAGGATTATAATAAAATTGGATTGGGTCACAATCAGTGATATTATAATATCCATTCGAGTTTTTAGGAGAGACAAATGATCCACGCAACTTGTTTTCGTTATATATATCATCCTTCTAAAAGATATAACCAATAAAAAAATATTTGTTGTTTTCATTGATCATCGAATGCGTTTATATATATATATATACATATATATATAGTACAAGTTGATTTTATAAGAACTTTTAATATCATAAAAAAATAACTTTTCATACCGGAAAAAAATCCATCTCAAATAAAATTATACTAATATAAAAAATCGGAGCTTATGTTAAGCTCTTTCTATTCCCAAATTACAAGGGAATGAAATTATAATGTTTTGTCCTTGCAATAATGAATGAATACAAGTTTAGCTGGTCTAGAGTGGCAAGAGAATATACAAAAACATATACTGATAAGTTTTTGAAAATTGTCAATATAATAAAATGGTACGATTAGTTTCAAAGGCTAAGATAACATATAATTTTTTGATTTGACATTTGTATTCATATTCTAATCACATTTCTATAAAAAAAAATCGAGAAATAGTCTAGTACAGAATCTTTTCAAGAAGTGATTGGTCTGACATAAAAAAACATAAAAGAGAGTGAAGTTTCGTTCGGGTTCAAATTCAAGTGTGGGGAGTGTAGAAAAATAAATTGCGGAAATAAAAAAAGACAAATAGAAAAGAACAGAATTACTTTTATTGCTACATCTCTTCTTCTTCTGATTACATTACAATGAAAATGACTCACATATTTATAGGAAAACTATCCGATGAAATAAAAAGGAAATAGAAATAAATAAGATCGATACACAATATTTGATATAATATTATGTCCATTACTATTTCTAATCATATCTTAAAATCAATATTTCCTTCAATCACATATTCATTTTCCTATTTCAACATTCTCCCTCAAGATTGATTTTGAAAGAATGCAAAAAATCAATCTTGAAAAGATAATGCGATAAAAACCCATAGATATTTTCATTGTTTTTTGAAAAATTCATAAACACCAAATTTAGTTCTTTTAGAGAGTATTACCCATTTTCAAATCACTTCGCTTGACTTTGAAGTTCTACCTTTAACTCTTTTTGTCATAGCACATCGCTTGATCTTAGAGTTTTTAGGTTTGACTTCTTTTTGTCATAGCACCTCGTTTGATTTTGGGTTTTTACTCTTCTTTGAACGATTTGGATATATGAATATCCAAAACTAAATAAAAGAAGAGATTGAAAAAAAGATATAGAGCAGATCGAACCAGGCTCTGATACCATGTAGAAAAATAAAATAAGACAAATAGAAAAGAACAGAATTACTTTTATTGCTACATGTCTTTTTCTTTTGGTTACATTACAATGAAAATGACTCACATATTTATAGGAAAACTATCCGATGAAATAAAAAGAAAATAGAAATAAATAAGATCGATACACAATATTTGATATAATATTATGTCCATTACTATTTCTAATCATATCTTAAAATCAATATTTCCTTCGATCACACATTTATTTTCCTATTTCAACAGGGAGGATTATTCATTTAGACTTCTCCAATCCTCTAGAAGATGTAGTTAACTAAAAGATTCGATGAATTCTCGGATTATGGAAAAAATTAACTAACGAAAATACAATGGATAGAGCATAGAAACACAATTGTGTTCGTCACTGATGTTGTCAAATGCCAACTTGATTGAACACTAGGAATAATGATATAAAATTGGAATAGTCAAAAAAGGCAGAACACTATGGTTGGCGGCGAGGGAATACCCAAAAACGTGAAATGTGTGTTGCATTTTATGAACACTGACCGATTCCGCTGCCCGGCCCGACGATTTTACTTTTGGTGTCTGGAACACTTTCTTGGCAATTTTCCATGTGATATTCGTGTAAGATTTTCGTTTTATCTTGTTATGTAAAATTATAACAATATTAATGTTTAGTATATATTTTTAATAATTAAATTGATCAACATTTTAATCAACTTTGATTATATATTATTCTTACTATTTTGTAGTTAGGATTAATTTGTGATCTGATATAGAGTTATAGAACCTAATCGATATTACGAGTAGATATCATTATATATATATTTAATTTTTTAATAGACAAAACTGTAAATATATATCAGATTAATTTTATATATTGAATAATAATGATATCTAATTTTGACACAACAAAAAATTATGGATACCCGCTTATATATGTAAAAAATATATCTATTTACATCTTGATATCTAGAATATTACATGATAAACTCTACAGCTTTTATATTTGTTAACGTCTTTCATGTGAATTTTCTGAATTTATTTTGCATGTGTGAGAAAAAAAATAAAATTTTGTTATTTATGTTAGTTAATATTTTTTAATTGATAAAGGTTAATTGGTTCGTTCATATAGAATCTAAACGACCCACCATTTTTTCCTATAGCAATCGCATTACATGTAGGTGTATAGTTCTGCCGACACCAAAGATTCACATATCTTTCCCGTACGTTTACCTTAAATGAAACACTACTATTATTATTATTATTATTATTATTATTATTATTATTCTTATTATTATTATTTCATTTTTTTCCTTAATGCGCGTGTAATTCGTGTTTGGAATTTTCCGTATCATTTCATTTTCAACTGTATATGTCTTATCATCAAATTTTAAGATATACATATCGTTGGGATGTTTTGAGATAATCTGTTGAGCTAATCCATTCATGCCATATTAGAGAGAAGTTTTGGTAATTTTCTGTCGCGTATTCGTCAAAATGAAAACATAGTGTCTTAAATACAATCGGAGAAACCAAACCCTTTACACAAACCCCTAACCAACTAAACTAAACCAACATGTTGGGCCTGCTCGGCCCAGCGGCCCGTTTGGCGGAAAAAGGAACATGGCCCATTTGGCCGAAACGCAGCGTTCTGGACTAAGGGTTAATGTAACCCTAATGCGGGTGTGTTATCGATGTGGGAGGCACGTGGCTCGAGGCATGTTCGAGCGAGAGGAAAACCAAAAGGCGAACGGAGAGGCGAAAGAGAAGGATCCCGATGACGGAGGTGCTTCCCGGCTACGGCGAAGCCCAGATCGGCGGCGACTCGCCAACGGCGAGGTAGGTAAGCGTCGGTAAGGTCTCGTGTACTCCTCGGTTGTTTTCTCGGATGTCTTTGGTTTCGGATGAGTCTCCGATTTGTGGAGCTCCGTCCGTTCTTGGTTTTTTCCGGTGTTTCTTTCGTCTCTAGTGGATTCGCCGGCACCGTCCGGCCGAGATGTAGGCCCGAGCTTGCTCGGTAACCGAACTCGTTAAAACTCCGGTGTCGTTTCGATTCGAGCACGTACGAGTGTCGGAGTGGCCGTGAGGATTCTGATACCGACTTCACAAAGTGGTATCAGAGCCCCGGTTACGATCCAGGGAGCATCGCCGGTCAGGCGAGGTAAGTTAGGGTTTCCGGTTTCATTTTCGAGTCGAGTCTTTCTGAGCGTTCTAACTCTCTACTGAGTGTGCAAGGCGCAAGATCGGAGGTAGATCGGGACTCGAAAGAAGAAGATCTGAGGTCTATGGTACTGTCGGCGGCGAAGATTCGGGATCCGAAATCTCAGAGAGCTGACGCGGCCAAGACTCGTTTCGAAACCGGTAACCAGGTGAGTCTCTTGACTCGTTTTCATTA